CATTTTTTAAAAGCAAGAAAGTGGACAATTTCCTGAGCAGATTCAGCTTCCCATACTTTACATACCTATAATTAGGATGGGAATTATCAACCATATATTCTACCTTAATTTTTTGTTGTTGTTGTTGTTGTTTTTGTTCTTTAAGACAGGGTTTCTCTGTGTAACAGTCCTGGCTGTCCTGGAACTTGCTATGTAGACCAGGCTGGCCTCTCACTAACAGATATCCTCCTGCCTCTGCCTTCTTAGTGCTAGGATTAATTTGCACCCTGCTTCTACCTTAATTTTTAATTTCAGACAGACCATCTGATCCTGTTGCTAGCTCTGTAGCCTTCAACCACAAGGTGCAAACTGAAAATCAGTGGAGGAATCACAAGGTTTCTCCACAGCCCCATCAGGCTATAGGAAGCTCGTGTTAGCCATAGGGCAGTGATTGGTTGTTCATGTGTGTGAAGAAAGAACCACTTAACCATTTCCTATGCAGCATGTGTTAGTCAAGGGCTCCCAGACTAAATCTGCAGAATGCAAAGAGAGACAGTTTGTAAACCTCAAATTCAATCCCCTAAAACCCTCTAAGAGTACATGGTTACAGACGCTACGCTAACAGGGGTAACCTTGCTACTATGTGGTCCCCTCCCCCAGAGCTCAGAGAGCAAGGCTTTCACCTTTGTAGGCTCAACAGTTATAGCCTTCAGTGTGAAAACAAGGGCTAGGCATAATTTTCTAAATTATATGATAACTGTTCTAAGGGGCTCCACATGATCGAGTAGGCAGGGTCAATACTAGAGGAGAGCCAGAAGAGAATTATGTGGTTGGCTTGAGATGTTTATCTGCAGGCCCTTAATTAGGTTCAGCCTTACCTGGCCCACAAGTCAGCTCTGTGTTAATTAGAAGAGATGATCTGTAAACAAGTGAGTCTATAGTCTGCTCGTTTTGTAAATCATGTCGGAGCCCTCAATAGACAAGTCTCCAAGAAATCTCACTATCTCTGCTGACAGGGTTATCTTATTGTGGCTCTCAGGTGGTTTGCAAGTCATGAGACGTCCCTATGAGCGATCTGGTCCTTAGAGCACTCAGGATGGTTTAGAGCTTGTCATCTGGTAGGATGCATCTTGGGAATGGGCAGGAAGCCAAGTTCCTTCCCTCACTATCAGCTTGGATTGGCTCCTTCTCACGTCATAGCTTCTCTCTGCAAAGCGTGGACTTTCCTGGAGCTTGGATAAGCTTGGACACTGCGTTCTGAACACCACCAAACACTTGAAAGAACTTGGCAAATGAGTCTAATGATCTAGATGTAATTTTACAAAGACTTCCCTTCTTCTCAAGGCTTTCAAGTTTAATGAACCTCATTAAATAGTAGTGATTTAAAAATTCTGCTACAAAAAAATTCTAAGAACCCCTATGAAAAAGGTAGAGGCACAATGGTAATTAGTTTCCTTTCAATCATCTCCAAACAACTTCAAATAAAACAGTGGCCGTCATTTGTCCTGGGTACATGTGACAAAGAAAAAAAGAGAATGGAAAAGGGGTCATTAGGAAGTTGGGTTCAAGAACCTTTTCTGGTAAAAGAAGTTACTTTTTTTGGGGGGGGGGGCTTCAACTATCTTACCTATAATGTAGGTAGAAGGGATGGAGATTAATTTTCCCAAGGCCCATTGCACAGTGGAATAACTGCTCTTTATATATCCAGAGATCTTTGGATGCCCATGGGCTCATCAAAGCCAATGAATGAGCCAAATATCAATCTTAGATAATGCCATCTGTGACGTCCTTCCTTGTTATTTGGTGCCAAGTCAAGAACCACCGATTGTGACCCTCAAGTGCCTTTGATGCTTAAGGGCCTGTGGTACCCTGCTGTCCTACCCATGTGGTATGACAGACACCTATCTTCAGCTCTCAAGTAACGGGAGGCATCTTAGTAATGAGTCTGGTCCTCCTGCCACCTGCCTCACTGTGCGCAGTCCACCTTGGCATGTGGACAGTGCTAGAGCTGTATCCTGGGCGGCCTTGAAGGAAAAAGTTAATGTTATATCTTACCTTAATTTAAAAAAAAATAAAAAATGAAAGTCGCTCTTGCCCCTGGAGTGTTTTGATGACTTTGCTAAAAAATCGCTTCAAAGACTCCTTTCAGAAACGATGGCCCATAGACACATTAAGTTTACTGGCTTGCCCAACCGCGGTTCTAAAGAATAATTAACCCTACAGTGTTCTCATGAAGACTGGCCTCTTTCACAGGAAGTGGGTGCCAGGTCTGTCTGTCCAAACTCCCTGCTGCTTTGCTCGAGAGGTTGGGAAGCAAGAGAGGCTCGGGTTGGCAAGCAAACATTCCCCTACCTCGGAAAAGGAGAAAAGGAGGCCTGACAGCACCACTTCTTTGTTTAGATAGGAGCAGCCGAATAACTCTGGGGCGAGCTTTCAAAGTGCACAAGATGCTCATTTGTGTCTGAATGAATGCCGGGGATTTCCACTCGCTAAATACCCAGCAGTAATGAAAAGAAAAACTGGTCTTCATTAGGCTAATTAGGCTTGGGGAGAAAGAAAGGGTGGCTCTTAGAGAGACTGCCCTTTGGCCACCTAGGGCCACCCTAACCTCAGGGTCAGCATCACAGTATGTACAAAACAGTGCCCAGAAGGGCAGTGCTTAGAGCTCCCTTCCCTGCGTTTTTGTCTTGAAATTCTTAATATCTGAGGACTGGGACCATGCGTGAGGATCAGGGTTTGATCACAGCTCTGAAAAGCATTCATCAGTATGTGTTGGGGAAATGAACTCTGAAGGGATTGCAGAATAGTTAGTTGCTCATTTATGATCATGACTATTATTCCTTATAGGTTATGAAAGAAATTGCTGAAGTACTTTCTGGAACATTTTGTTGAAGGGCATATGCTAATAAAGCCATTTTGAGTTTAGCTCCCCGGGCTTCTAGGGGGTCTTTCAGATTCACCAGAAATTTTCAGGGGATGAAAAAAATTGCCTGTAGAGGAAATTTATACAACAAAACGGCTCTTGCTGTGCTCATTCTAACACCACGCCCACAGCAGGTGAGCTACAGACAGGGACCCAGGTAATGGAACTCATTCGGATTTGCTGGGATGAGTGACTGCCAGGGCCAGAGAGAATGTGGACATCAGCTCTCAAACCTCTAGCCTGCTTTCCTGATGGTGACTGTCACTAAAGCTGTTCTTCACAGAACAAAGACTCAACTGTGGGCACAAGAAAGCTGATGCTCCTGTGGAAATATTCTAATGGGTCGTTGGGCTTCTAGGAAGAACAGGAAGCTGTTTCCCTGACCCATTTCTATCATTTCCCTACGTATATTGAGCGTTAGCTTTGTATTAGGTGTCTTTATGCTCATGAACCTCACGGAAGGCAACTTTACCAGCTTCCTAGGAAGAACCCTTGAGGCGCGTGTAAATTAAATGGCTTAACTAAGAATTTCCCGTCAGACAGTGAGAATGTATCCAGTTCTGTGACTTCAGGAGCACACATCTATTTTGATTGATCACTAAGTTTCCCTCAGAGTAAAACCTTCTGTAGCATTTGCACCAGGCACCATCCAAAGTCCTACATCTACAGAGGCGCTATAAAACCTTGAAATGGCCCTGGGAAGTAGAAGTTACTACCCCACTTTTCACACAAAGAAACTAAGGCACCAGGCTTAAATAGAACAGTCACACAACCAGCAAGTGACAGCAATAGGCTATGAATAAACAGCCAATGGATTCCTACTCAAAAGTCAGCCAGTAAGCTACAAGGTCTGATCTTTCAGAGTTAAACGTAAGCATTGCCTGAAAATATAAATTAAAGTATATGAACTAATAGAGGCATAGATCAAAGGTGCATTCTTTAAAGGATGAGTCAAATATTTTTCCAAGTTCTTTTAGAGACTGGGTAAAATAAGACTACTAACACCGCCAGCTAGAGCCAGGCGGTGTGGAGCACGCCTTTAATCCCAGCATTTGGGAGGCAGAGGTAGGCGGATCTCTGTGAGTTCAAGGCCAGTTTGGTCAATAGAGCTAGTTCCAGGACAGCTAGGGTTTTACACAGAGAAAACATGTCTCGAAAAACCAATCAACCAATCAATCAATAAATATTAAAAATAATATAATAACACAACTAAATTAATTCATGCCTCTAGACACGTCCAGCATTGTGCTGGTATCTTACACCTATTGCCTCTTTCAACCGCCAGAAGCCAGCCTGCTGAATTACAAAACTTTTAGAATTTTCAGACTACAATGCTATACTTTTTATTTTCTGAAAAGTCTGTGAGCCATATTAAGTGCAGTCCACGAGAACTATAGTTCAGACACAACAAAATTTCCATATATGTCCCAATTCCTCACTAAAGATATTGTTCTTTCCCATTGAGAATATTACTAACCCAGCTACTTGGAGAAAAGGTACTTGATATGGATTACAGCATCTCTGTCAAGACCAGGAAGGAAACAGCTGGGAAATGCTGCCTATAAAAACAAAATAGAAACCTAAAGGAAACATTTTTTTTCTTTCTCCAAACCTGGGATAAATGATTTAGGAAAAGGCTAAATAGATGAGACATAGAAAATAATATTTCAAACTGTGACTGGCTGCAGAAAACAAACCAGAGTCAGAAGGACAAGTACCACCTTTGCTTTCATATGTGAAGGGCAGAGAGCCACGGATCTGATTGTAAAAGTGATTGACTGAAGATAATACAGGTGCTTGTGTCGGGAGACAAATAAAGAGGTGATGGATCTGGGCAATGAGTGTGTATAAACATACAGAAACAACACTGAACTGCAAGATCATATACAATAGTGCATGTTAACCAAAATGAAAATCAGCCCATCATCTGATCTCATCCTAAGGATTTAAAAAGTCCTGGGGAAGGTTTTACTTCCCCTACTGGGAAGCGACAGAGGCTAGGCTAGCCTGAAACCTGCAGCTTCGCTCTTAGCTGTTCCCTTACAGGATGGGAAATTGTGTCTGGGAGAACGTGACTGTTTTTTTTTTCTTTTATTACCATGGCTTTGTTGGAATGGCCACCTCCTTGGAACTCAATGGTCCCAAAAGCATCTGTTGGGCTGAGCTGAGTGTGCTTGCTGATGGACCACTTCTCAGACTGGATGTCATTTCGGGAGAGGCGACTCTCATTTTTCTCGTTCTGAAGCACAGAGATACTGGGAGTGAGCCCGACATGCTGGCCTATTAGGCGCCCACAGCAACACCTATAATATGAGAGGTTAAAGTGAACCCCTTGCATCAGCCATTACTAGAGTGCACATGCAAGCAGCCTGTTAGAGAAACCCACAGACCATGCTGACCCACTCCAGTTCAGTGGTAGGTGAAATCCCAGAATGCAGTCTTATCAGGAAAATGACGGAGAGAGGTTTCCCATAATACCCCATCAACTGCTCTTCCCCACCACCCAGCTTATCCATACTTATTGTCCTCAACATCCATACCTATAAGTACTTGGCATATTATTTGGGACAGGGCAATTGTGAGCAGAAGTTCTCTAGGTGTTTCCTCTTCTAACTGCTCCCATCTTTCAAACCTCACATACAAGATGCTAAAGAGCTTGGGGGAAAGACTTCTAACACGTACATTTAAATGCGAAATCTCAGTTATGTGTGGGCCCCAACCTAACTCATCTCTCCAATTGAGATTTACTGTTCAATATTCAGTTCTGAGAATAAAAATCTATAGGTTTTTTTTGAAGAAGAAATGAGAAAAACTGGAAACTTAAAATTTGTTTCCTTTGTCATCAAAATATCCTTCAAATGTTATAACATTACAATTACTAGTAATGAGAGTTACATAGCATTCTCTTACACACTAACCATACACCGATGACAAACTATTGCAGTGCTGAAGCTTGAGAAATGTATCTAAGGTTATGTATCTAGTCTGTGGCTGGAAGATCTGTGTTTTCAGCCACCTTTTAAAATTGCCCATTCCAAAGGCATTTCCAGATGACGATGCACTACTATTGCAGCTTCCCGCTGTATGTACTGCTGATTTCCAGAAATGTAATTGCAGAATTACAGTGCCAAAAAGTGCAGAGCGGTCTGAAGGTCTAAACCCTAATGAATCTTCTAGGAGTGTTTCATTCAATACTGTGTTTTTGTTTTGTTTGTGTTAGCAGGGCATGTTAGCACCAATGAAACAGTTTGACAAAATGTTAAGGTGGAAAAATAAGTGCTTGTTACAAAAATATAGTATATTGTTATATACAGGGACCAGTCTTTCTACAATAGTGAATCTGTTACTCTGTGTACAGACACTTAGTTGAAGATTAACTTTAGCCTTGCATATTAAGCAGTGAAGTATATATTTTGCTTCAAAATATATTTAATTTGGCACTGGTTCCCTTGCAGTGGTAGTAATTACTATTGGGCTCTATCCCTATAATTACGACCTTAAATTCTTAATGCATTAAAGATCACAGGATTACCTATGGGGGTCTTTGGTGCTGGGTATGATGTGAACACATTCTCTTTTGTAAAATGCTCGTTCAATCCAGGATTTCTGAGCCTGAAAAAGAGAGAGAGAGAGAGAGAGAGAGAGAGAGAGAGAGAGAGGAATGATAAGCATAAATTTTAAATCTTTTTGACTAGATAACAACACATGTAATGTAACATAACGATATACTAGTATGTCATAAATGGATTCCACACTGCATATCATCCAACCAGCCATTCTCAGAACCTGCTGCCTGTTTTAACATTATAATATTGAGAAGAATGGAAACAGCTAGGCTGGAAAAAGTATTACTAATGGGACTGTAGACATGTTCATTATGGTTTCTAAAGGACAGAAACATAAGACTATTCATAGAGAAAATGAAATTGAAGGAACAGAACATGACATTTATACTCTTACAGGAAAAGTGGAATTCAAACGTCAGAGGAAACACACCTAGTTCGGTATCAGGTTTTCACGGTTGAAACTTCTATTAGATTTTCGTTACGGAAGAAAAGGAAGATGGCTGAGGGGGTGCATAACTCCAAATCCCTGCTACATCACTAAGGTTCTTTAAAGCCAAGTTTGTGATACAGAAGAACAGAGAGGGAGAAAAGGAAATGGGAAGACAAAGAGGATAGGTGTAAGCACAGTCTTCAGGCTCCCAGGTAATGCTTCGGAAGGGAATGGGCACACTTCCCCTTATATCCCACATACATGCCAAAAAGTATGGCTTCTTACACTCAGACTCCCAGGCATCAAGATGGTGTTCCTAAATGGGCAAGGATAATCTGTCCATCAAAAGGGTATTTCTCCTCCACCCAGCATCATCTAACTTTCATGTACAAGTTATAGGCTATAGACTGCATTATTCAACCATAACTATGCATGAAGCTCTGCATATCTGTAGATGAAAACACCATGCCACAATTCCAAAAGCCTGGATACCCTGGACCCCTTCCTTCAAAAGCATTTGAAACAGAAGAGACGTCTCTGTGAAACCTGCTAAACTTCTTAGGAAATTCCTATCTTAAGTATTTAAGATGGAAGTTACTAGAGCAAATCTTAGTTATTTCACATGGTATTATTTTACTGTCATACCTAAAATCATATTTTTAAAATATCCTGGCCCGATGCACAATTGAGCTGTTCACTTGACCTGTGGCAATCACTGGTGGGAACTGTTACCAGCTTCTGCTTGCTATTGTGTAATTAGTCCCGATTCCCTGGGCACACAGTGCTATCTGAGTCTTGTGCCTTCTGGTGTACACTTATTCCCTTGATCTCATACAATGGAGGTCTGTGTATGTGACATCCATAGCAGTGGTTACTTAATACTTACAGTAACGCATATTCTACACATGGCCACACGGAGGACGGTTGAGGGCCATCAAGACACTGTATTCTCTTTCAGTAATGGTCACAGCGGGGCCACTTAATTTCTGGTTTCCCTATATTGTCTTCATTTAAAGCCACAGCCCACACTGCTTCAAAGGTCTCCAGGTTCTGGTGCACCTCTCTACCTTCATGCATACAGAAGGCATTTGTAATTTTGTTTGCAGCAGGACATGAAAAAAACAAAAAAATCTCTTCTCAAAGAGTTCCCTTCTTTGAGAAGAAAGCTACTGACTTCATCTTTGCAACAGAAAGGAGCTCGGCAGCAGAGATAACCGTCTTTATCTTTGTAAAAAGCCTGTAAATTAAACTCTTCATAGCCCATGGTGCTGAAACACTGAATACTTTTGTTGGTGTTATCTGATGTTCGTTCCTCACTGGACATTTGAAACCCACTCTCCCTACACCTTGGGGAACAGTGAAGAAAGAATGTACTTTTATTGGCGGTCCTGGCAAGCCTTCAAACAAATCTTTTGGGGCATCATCTGCCTGCTCCAGTGAGTGCTGGTCCATGTTCCAGGAGAGGAAGTTGGAAAGGCTGTATGCGTGGGGACATAAAATCTACAGCTGAGAAAGGAGCATGAGCAGGAGGGGCTCTCGGAGATGAGAACAGTTAGGAATTCTTGTAGCTTCAGTTTTCCCCATCTGTATACTGGGTACAATAATAAAGCTTGACATACTGGGTTGTTGTTACTTGGGGAATACCATGTTTGGCTTCAAGAAGAGAGAATGACCTTGGCTTTTGTTTGTTTATTGAGACAGGTTCTCACTCTAGTCCCAGTTATCCCAGTAATAATTTGCAAGTCTAGCTGACCTTAAACTTGAGCACTCCCAACGCATGCACCATTATGCCAGACTTCTGGACTGATTCTCAAACTATATATTCACATGGAAGGTCATATAAGGGGTCTATAAAATACTGGTAGAAATGGTCATCCCTCTGCTTGGCTCATAGAACACTGGACTGACAACTAACACGATAGGAAAAAAAGTTACTGACTTTCTCTGAGGCTCATGTATAGCATAGAGATTCTAAATTACTATGGAGGGTTTTATGATAAACAGACCAAGAGGTTCATCTTGCACAGCTAGCACATAGTAGGAGCCCAGCAAGGTTGCACAGTAGCTAACATTTGTTAAGGGTCCATTACGCCCTTGGATCCACAAAACAGCACTGATGGGGAGGGACCCTCTACAATACGACATCAATTTTATCAATGAAAAACAATGGAGCCAGAGAGAGTTGGCAAGTAAGTTCCAAAGCCACAGCTTGACCTTGAGCATCTTTGCCCAAGGATCTTTCCTTTTACCCCTTGGATACATTGCTTTGCCAGAGGAGACTGTACTGCTTCTGAATGTCCTTTATGTGTGCAATGCCATCTGAGATGCCTGGGACTATTTCTGTGTTTGAACCACACTGAACTCCTGAGAACGGGTTCAGACTTGTTTCTTCCCCTTCCACCTCCACAGTCTAGCATTCAGTCATGGAGGTGGGGGTGAACTCTCTGCTTCCTGTTTTTTTCTCTCCCTTTGGGGTAATGGATAAGATGCCACTTTAGGAAGACCCCAATACATAAGGCAGAATTAAAGAAGGGGAGAAATATTATTATTTCTGTGGCAGCAAGGAAATGGAATGATAACTAGACTTTAAATTTGAGAATATGGGGGCCGTGCCAAACGAATCAGATTCTTCGAGGACACTGTTATTATTAGCTTCAATTTGGGAGGTCCTGCAAGCTTTAGTAAGATGGTGTGTAGAAAAATTACTGCATAGGGATTGTCAATTTGTTGGTAAGTCTTTCAGAGGAAGGTGATTTGGCTTGTGTGCAGTCCAGCAACTTAATTATATCCTCCAAGAAAAGCAACCTCTTTGTGGGTGAATGAGAAATCACTTCTGTTTCTTGGTATTAGCAGATTAATCAGTTCCTCTGCCACCGCACAATTGGGAAGAGAAGAAAGGTGAGGTAAAAAGGTCTTCCCGTCATTCATAATGAACTTTGACTCTTTGTTTATGAGGCAAGAATAATTTATCCTAGGATAGTGGTTGTGCAGAAGAGCCAACTTAGGAATTCTCCAAAAGATGCATAATTGATTCTGCTATATTGTTGGGTTGGCTTCATTGTGCCTTTATTCAGGTTGCTAGTGTGGACAGATAATCGATTTAATTTTTTTTCCTTTAGGAAAGGGCATATTTTGATGTACAATCGTGGTTTAACTTGTGGCCTAAAAGAATTCCCTTTTTCTTTTGTTCAAGGGCTTTGTGCTACTCTGCATGAAGCTTTAGACTTTGCTCCAACAGGCAACTAAGTTAGTGCACAATGATTGCCCTCATTGTTAGAAAGCACGAAGTAAATCTGACATGCATTTCCTGCTGACGGTTTAATTTTCTTCTAATGCGCAACTTCAGTGGAGGCTTTGCCCTACCAGCTTTGCTTTTTAACTATTCCACAGAAGTCTCCAGTCCTCTCGAAAAGATCCTATCAGCCCTCAGAAATTCACTTCTATGCATTCTTTCCTGGAGGTAGACCAGTCAGGTACCCAAGCTGACTTTGTCATGGGCTGTTTCTTTCTCGTCTTTCTTCACTACCAGCCATGTGTGATATGTACTAGGGAAACGTTTTCAAAGGCTAATAATTCAAGGACATCTTTTTTTTTCTTTTTTTCAAAACAGAAACAAAGGCATCTGCATTTTGAACAAAGTCTAATCACTACCCTAAGGAATAAAAACAAGAGCTACTTTTGAAAATTAAATATGAAATCAATAAAACTTTAAGATGAAAGAAGGCAAAATGAACCTATAAATATTGTCATATACAAAAAAAAACATTAACTCATTTCATTTAAACAGGTTCCACTGTTTCTCACCCAGGCTCTGAGACCAATGTGAAGCCACCAACAGCTCTGTCCTGTCTCCCTTTACTTTCCTACTAGCCGTAGACTCGGTCCTTCTTCGGGAGGGAACAGTTGCAACACAAACTTAGCAGCTCAGTGACCCAGACAGGCAATCCAAAGATTAAAAAGAAAGCATAATGAACTTCTGGAGACAAATAACGAGGGACACATATCTATGCTGTTCGCCATCCCAGTCTCAGTGTCAAGAGGCCACCCAGTCTTCATTAGAACAAAATACCAACATATACGTTCATTTCCCCCTCTGTTTTCTCTCCACCCCCTCTGTGTATTCCCTTGGTCTTCCTCTAAGTCCCCACATCCAGCCTGGAGAAGGTGAACATGAGAAAGGTTAGCTGGAATCGTTTACCTGGGCACCGACTCTGGCTGGTAGCAAGGCAGAAGTCCCCCTGCACAGCTCCTGTTGCTTTCATTTTGCTGTGACTGGGGCTGGCCATCCCGCTAATAATGCTCGGATGACCGCCCACTGGAAAAAAAAAAGTCACTTGCCAGGCTCTTCCCCCAAGAGACATTTCAAGTAAGCAATGAATTTGGGCAGATTGGCCCCTTGGAATGTGCCAGGGCTCCAGGATTAGCCTGGCTAAGAAGCCCATGGACATTCCCTCCGAGTCCTCAAACACGGCTTGATTTGAACATCTAATCTGAAGCCAGAAGAAAAACAAATCCCTGGAGAGATCGGGTTTAAGTAGCACAAGTCCTAACTGCTTCCTACCCCCCCCCCCACCCCCACCTTTTCTTTTTCCATTTTCAAGGCGGGAGGGAGGCTT